CAGGTCAAGGTTGCGGTGGCCGGGAGCGGCCACTACACTCCAGTCTGGGCGACAGTGAGACTCCAACTCAAAAACAAAAACAAACAAAAAAAAGAAAGTAGAAGAGCTTTGATGAGAATAAAGAGGAAAAAAGGAGGCCAGGCCCAGTGGCTCAGCCTGTCATCCCAGCTCTCTGGGAGGCCGAGGTGAGTGGACAGCCTGAACCCGCCGGTTTGCAACAGCCTGGGCACTTTGGCGAGACCTCTCTCTACAATAAATAAAAAATTTGCATAGCACGGGCCTGCAGTTTCGGCTACTTGGAAGGAGCGCCAGAGCCCAGCAGGTCGAGGCTGCGGAGGCCACGAGCATGCCACTGCGCTCCAGGCTGGGCAACAGAGTGAGACTCCCAACTCAAAAAACAAGCAAAAAAAAAAAAAAGGTGGCAAAAAGAAGGTGAATTCATCAGTAAAGATACACTGAAGTTAGGAGCACAAAGGAAAATAGGAAGAGGCCCACGGCCTGCGGACAGCAGTGGTTCCAGACCAACAGAAGAGTCCAGCCTATGGCAGGCAACCAAGTTTCCCCTCCAGTAGCACCCCACTTCCTCCCCAGCAACACAACGAGGACACCCACTTCCGCCTCCCAGGGTGTCCTCTATCCCTGCCTTCCCGGAAGCCATGGGAGGAGCAGGCTAACTCCCCCTCATCCTCTCAGGTTCTGCTTCTGCAGCCCAGGCCCTGCCCTCTCCCGCCCCAAGGCATCTCTCTCTTCCTGGGTGAGAAGAGACAGGCCATGCCAGGTCCCAGGCTCACCACTCCTGCAGGGTTCGGGCGATGGCACTGAGGTCCTGGCGCTGGATGTCCCGCCCAATGCTGTAGTCCACCTCCAGTCGCTGATTGCGCTGGTCCAGGGAGCCGCGGAGCACGTCGGCATACACGGCCTCGATCACGAGGTCCTCCAGCTGCCGCACATTTCGCAGGGCGAGGGCCTCCAGCAGCACTGCGTACGGGATGCACTGGGCCGGGGAGGCCGGCCAGGGCGCGTGAGGTTGCACGGCAGAGAAGAGCTTGCACGAGGCCTCCTTCCGCCTTTGCCCACCAGGCCCCTGCCCTCCACTCCTGTTCCTAAGTCATTTCCCGAAAAGCATCCCCAAGATGCCTCATGAGAACAGCACCACGAGGACAAGCTTAAATAAAGCATGAGACGCATGCTCCCCACCTCCCTGCCCTCCCCACGGGGAGAAAGCGCCTGCCTGAGGTCACTCTAGCGGCCACGGCTATGAGAGTCACACGGTCCCTGGTCAACATCAGCCTCACCAGAAGAGAGTATGTGGTGGTGAGCTGGGCCTGAGGTCCCTGTTATCCCTGAAACTCTGCTACCTCCCAACAGGCCTTCCGTGGGGGGCATCTCCCAACAGAGCCTGATTCAGGTAAAACCCCAAGAACGCCTGGGAGTCCAGTCGCAACTGGGAGTGCAGACTGGGTGGAGCAGAGTGCGGGGCACAGGTGGTGACGCACAGAAACGAAGCCCAGCAGGAACACGGAGACACTCGTGCGAAACGAAGTTCTACAGAGACACCTAGTGCTTCATCAGAAGAAGCCCTGGGCCTGTGGCTAACTGAGGCTCTGGCGTACGGGACTTTATATAGTGGGAGAAGGTCATGGCTGAGTCGCATGTGAACAACATTCTAGTTGCTGTTTTGACCAAAACCACAAATGGTGCTTATGTTATTTAATTTTAGAGTTGGAGTCTCACTCCGTCGTCCAGGCTGGAGTGTAGTGGCGCTCACGGTCACCACCGCCTCGACCTGCTGGGCTCTGGCAATCCTTCTGCCTCAGCCTTCCAAGTAGCCAGAACTACAGGGGCGCACTACCAAGCCTGGCTAATTTTTGCTTTATTGTAGAGATGACATCTCACCAAGTTGCCCAGGCTGGTCTCGAACCTGCAGGCTCAGGCAATCCACTTTTCTCAGCCTCTCAAAGTGCTGGGATTATAGGCTGAGTCACCAAGCCTGGCCTTATTATTTATTTATTTTAGATTAGAAAATATAGTTTATTTAGAAAGTAAACTGGAGAGAGAGAGAGAGAGAGAGAGAGAAAGAGGGGATTCACCTCCCTGGGGGAGGGAAGGGGACCAAAGGTCAACAAAACATGGTCTGGACATAGCTCAAAGAGCCTGTGGCCATACCATAGCTTAGCAAGGCAGTGGCCTTATTTTTTACTTTTAAGTTGGAGTCTTTTTTTTTTTGAGTTGGAGTCTCACTCTGTCGCTCAGATTGGAGTGCAGTGGCCGCT